AGATCCATAGTAGAAAAGCGATGTCTATAACCATGATTTCCTTCTTGAATGTTTTATTTTCTACAAACCCCAATATGAACTAACCATGATATGTTGGGTGTTGAATGAATTTTGGGTTATTAAAGATATGAGCACATAAAGATTGTATTTCTATCAAGGTTTTCAATTTAATGAAACATATGGTTTGTTCTTAATACTGTTATTAGCCTAATCAACTGTCAAGATTTATTTGATTGGTTCATCAATAGTGTTTGGCACTCCGATTCGTCTTTTTCATAGAGAAATCAATCAACCGTCGGTATGATTTTCTTTGATAGAAAGAACTCTCTTTAACAGAATATATTATTTCACAGACCTGTTATCTGGAATCGTCTTTGAGAAAAGTGAGTTGAGATTAGAATTAGAAAAGATATTGGATAGGTATATACCAATTAAGCCTTAGTAATAAGTCGACAATCTTGCTTGAATATATCTTAGAATCTGTATGTTGAGATCGAGAGATAATACATACCTTTTCATAGATAAACCTGTTATAACTTAAGAAAGAATAGCGGATACGAGGGTGATTGTGTGTTCATTGATTGTCTAATTTGTTAAATCTATAATTCAAAGTGTTCTATGTCGAAACCCATTAGGATTCCAGCTCCCAATTACTTCTTCCGTAGAAATAGTTCAATCTTTATTTTCCTGTTAATCTTATAAATATTCATAAGGATTGCCAATATTTAACTTAATCAATCATTCAATTCAGACCATCCGATTAATAGTAGTTATGGTCATTGTGTTACTTAGTCCCTACTTTCTCTGGTTCGATACTCGTACTTACCGTACATATTACTTGATTCGACCTATACGCTTACAGTTGGATTTAAGGGGGAGTAAACCCACCTATCAGTCGTCATCGTTGCCTTTATGTAAATAAGTGTGTGAATTGAATTGAAGCAGTGGGCACATGTGTTGGGAATGTAAAAACGGCCAAGAAATTTCAAAACTATAGCAATTTATTAAATTGAAATACTAGCTAATTGAAGCAATATTCTTTGAATGTGCATGGGGCACTTCAATTGTAGTGATTGATTTTAAACACTAGAAATGTGTTCACCAATCGATTTGAAATCTTCGGGAAACGATTTGAAGCACTCAAACATGTAGTTTTGATGAGTATGTGAAACGATTTGAAATTACTTGATCAAATGCTATGGGAATAATTAGAAGATTCATTAACTTCAACTAAGATTCATTAAAGCCCAGTAACATAAGTTGTGACTTATTACATGTTTGTATGCAAGTGTACTGCATATATGCATATGTTGTCTATTGGGCTCGATATGACCGCTAAGACCTACTATGACTCAATAAGACCTACTAAGATCCATTATAGCCTAATAAGACTTTTTATTACTTATAAATGTCCAATAACACCAATGATGATTTATTAATTATTTGTATGCGCTTAACAAACAAAACACACATTATTAACAATACATTCACATATACACATACATACATACATACATACATACATACATACATACATATATATAACATAAAGGGTAAAATGGTAACTATGAGAATCAATGTGAGCCAATCATTTAAATAATTAATGTTATATCCTAAAATAACATAAAGGGTAAAATGGTAATGTTTATAATAATAAAACCCTAACCCTATTGTTCTTCCTTCTTTCATCGACTAACCCTCTTTTTCTATTGTTGCTTCTTCTTCTTCATCAAGCCGGCCGACGATTTGTAACGCCGCCCTCTCACTCCCACCGGAGATTGAAGAAGATAAAAAGTCTGACACCATTCTTCGTCGTCGGCGGCGCTAATCGAAATTCGGTTGGCGGTGGATTGATTTGTAACGCCGCCCTCTCACTTCCGCCTCCCTCAACTCCAATCTCCTGCTCAACAAGATACCATAGATTTACAGAATGGAATTCTCCATGCCGAGGAGAAAGATTATAAAACTGCCTACAGTTACTTCTTTGAAGCATTTGAAGCATTCAATGCTCTTGATGATCCCAGAGCAGTTTACAGTCTCAAATATATGCTGCTATGCAAAATCATGGTGAAGAAACTGTCTCATATGATATTGAACAAGAAGTTTGCTGGAACCCTGGATCAGGGCGTTGGGTGTCTCATCATCTTTGACGATCCAAAGGCAGATGCGATCTATCCTTCAACACTCGAGAGTATGATCACAGTGTAACATAGTGTATCACAGTGTATCACAATGTTCGGTTTCATTATTTTTGCTTGTTTTATCAAGGTGTATCACATGTTTTTATGATTTGAGTTGGTATCACAATGGTATCACAGTATATCACAATGAGTATCACATTGTGTATCTTTGTGATTAATTGGTACCTAACAGAATAATGTTGGCCGGAGGCCGGAGATTGGAGAGAGGAGAGATGAGTTTTTTAAAAATACCTAAAATGCCCTCTAATTATAATTTTAACTTAAAATATCATAATTACTAATTTCCTTATTTATCCGTTGATTTGTGGTTAAGATTGGTTCTCACAGTTACCACAAACTAATCAGTTCTCCCTTGAATGGGCCCCTATATATATATATATATATATATATATATATATATATATATATATATATATATATACGTGTGTGTGTATATAACACATACACACATCATATGCGGTTACCAAACAACAGACATATTATCAATATTTTCACATATACACATGCATATAAACATATATACAACACACAAACATATATATACAACAATAAATACATAGAAACAAACAATTGCCGTTAGTTACCAACACACTTACACATCATGTATACATATATATAACACGAACCGACAGATGTTATAACACATACACATGTATACATATAACATATACATATACACATGCGTACATATAACACATATAAATGAGAAAACACGAAAAATAAATAAATTTGTCGCTAATTTGTCACTAATTAACGAGGGATTAGCGACGGATTCCATGTATCCATCGCTAAGTAATGAGGGATCGATTAGAGCCATCTCTGAATGTCGTTGCCGATGCCCCTTTTCTAGTAGTGAACCTTTAACATGTTTGATTGATAAATATAATTTGTTGAATGTGATAATTTATCTGCCCCAAACCTTTCAGGTTTCCTATTGATTATTTCAGTATCATTAAAACTTTTAAATTTTAAAAGTTTTGTGCAACTTTTTCTACATGTGAAACGTTGGTGACAAGTGTTTATATATGTTGAAGGATTTCATTATATAAATTATTTATGTTACCATAATTAGTATGATGGCTTAACTATATATTTATATATGTAACTCTCGTTTGACAATTTTTTAGTGTTAATTCGTATTAGGGTTTGAAAGTGTTATAAAACAAATTATCTTTGATGATTGTAGTTGTAGAGGAGGAGAAACATACGAAAAGCAAATTAATTTACGAGAAGACGAAAAGGATATGATTGTTATATTGTTTGTATATCATTATCTGTTATTTCAATTTTTGTTTCGTTCCTATAACTCTCATTGTTGCTAGTAGTATATTTTAACTAATGAATTGATATTTTGTTTTATAAAATTTGAGAAATGTCATGATTTGGACTTGATGCCATGGAATTGGTTTGAAGACCGAACTTAAGGCATTTACCGCACAGATATGCACATACAATACCCCTCTCATCCTAGCCAAATCAATAAATTTTCTTTGATATCTTAGTTTTGAACTTTTTTATTTGAATGTGGATATTTTTATAATTTTGCATGTTTAGTTATTTATAATGTTATTTGCTTTTAAAGTATTTTCAATCATTTTTTTAATAAAAAATTCAGAATTACCGACATATCAATGACGGATAAATCCCCTGATAATATGATTTTAAAATAAATAATTCCTGAAAATAATTATTTAAATAATTAAATTTCCAACGGATTAATTAATGGCGCATTTTCTGCCGGTAATTTAATTTTAAAAATAAATAAATTTTTGAAAAAAATTAATTAAACTACTGATGATAATTTAATCTTAATTATTAATTTAATTAATTAGGTCAAGAAAGTAGAAAACGTTTAAAAGAAATTTCCGTGGCTGATATTTTCAGCAGCTTAAATCTGTCGAAAACGGTTAAATCCATCAAAAATCCACCGAAAATAGTATTTTCCGGCAATAAATTCCATCAAAAAAAGTGCAATGTTTTGTAGTGAATTATAAAAATCATCATAATCCACTGTTTCATAATGAATTATAAAAATCACAAAAAATCGTTCAATTGTTTATCAAAATACATTTGTATAATATGCTTTTGTAATCTATGGGATACATACTACAAATCTTTGTGAGACAACCCTACCTTAATTTTCTATCTAAAATAGATTAAACGTTGGACTTGGCAAAACTAATAGTTAAATGATTTTAATTAGAAACCTCTCACCGATATGTAGTTTCCGAAAACCTCCTTTAAAGCTTAAGAAGTTTTTCGAATTTCCGAACATACGTACTACTGGAATATATATCTATTTTTGTTTTTAGAAAAATTACAATTTTAAAATTAGTAATAATCGGCTCGTTTTTTAAAATAAGTCCTTAATTTAGATGTTTAACTATATATAATTGTAGGAGTGTTCTTTACTAAATTTAGCCCTAATGAGGTGAAAAGTTATGCTTATTTAATCAGAGGCTGAACTAGAAAACTAGGTAGAAATTGATCTTTAATCAACTTATTTTGTTCTGGACTCGTTTAGTTTAAAGATTGGCTAGCTTTCAATAAGTGACCGGTTCCATTGTTGAATCTACTCCTTAAGGTCAGTTTTTGCATGCAGTTTTTGCATGGATAAAGTAGCACTACCTGTCACAATTTTAGATAAACTAAATTAATGAAGCCCACGTTCATAGCATATCTATTATAATTTTTTATTCCTCTCGATTAGAAAATTATTAATAAGAAAAAACTATTCACGATGAATAGATCATCTTCATCTATAAATATCATTCGGCACTTGGGTAGTTTCACACCACAAAACTAGCTAGTGCTTGTTGATACTTCAAAAGTCTAGCTAGTTTTCAGTTCACATCCCAAAATGGCTTCAAGTGCTTTGAGAACTATGGCCTTTCTCCTCGCTCTCAACCTCCTCTTCTTCACTTTGGTAAGTTCACAGACATTGCCTGCAGAAGCAACTTGTCCTACAACCGGTCTGAAGTTTGGTGTGTGTGCCGGCTTCCTCAGTAACTTGCTGGGTGGCATCGTTGTAGGAACTCCACCATCGATACCTTGCTGCAACCTCATCTTTGGTCTTGTTGATCTCGAGGCAGCAGCATGCCTATGCAAGGCCATTAAAGCTAATCTCTTGGGTACTAACCTCGATGCATCGGCCTCGTTTAACTTGGTGTATAACAATTGTGGAAAAGAGGTCCCTTCAGGTTTCCAATGTGCATGAAAAAATAACTTCAGTTTCTACAAGTGTGTTTTCTGTTCTTCATTCTCGTCATCTCTTCTTTGATTCTGGTGTCTTTGGGATTAATTTGGAGTGCTATGCTTTGTTTTTTCCTTTTATGTTTTTATTTCAAGTGAGAGGTTCGCCACCTTCCCTTTTTCCATTGTAAGCTTGGTCCTTGGATCCTATCACATATAATTAATGTGATTAGGATTGTTTGATTCTAATTCAAGAATAAAGATGCATGTTGAGTTCTCGAGATTTGTTATCAGTCCCACCTTTGTCTTCCATTTTCTTTTCGGCAAAAAGAGATTATATTGACAAAGTCTTGTACTAAATGGAAGTTATATTTACCAAACAACATTTGGTAACAGTTCCGACATCAGCAAAATCTCAATATTGGAGCTTGTTCCTTCCAATAATACGTCTCATGACAAACGTGATATGCTCCACATACGTACAGTCCATTAAACCGATTCGTGTTTGATGACATTGGAAACCATACAGTACCAACGTTAACATGTTATGACATTGGCAACCTGATCGAGATCTATATATTGGAGAAGCAAAGAACAAGATAAGGAAACAAGGAACATTATGCATGGAGGTGTTGGCCGTTGAATTAGTGACAAAAAACCCTCCCTTTAAAATAACATTACAGGTTTTTTATAAGTATTTTGCATTAATTTTCTGAAATTTTTCTGTAAGTGATACATGTCATTACTAAATAGTGAAGTTTGTCGCTATTTGTGGTCCGTTATCATCCCTATTTGGACTTTCAGCTTCAAGCTTCTAGAAACATAACTTCATTGACATCTTATATCCCCCGTTTCTTGTAGCGCATCCCCATTACGTTGTAGATCTAGTTCAACAAGTTTCCAGTCTTGTGATTGCAGGGAACAATCCTTTTCCAATGGGGCTTTCTTGCAGATGTAGAGGTGGTCTGTGGCAATGGGGACGGTTGTTTCTTGGAGAGTCCAAAGATCCATTTGTCGAAACGGAAGATCCGGGAAGGATGTTGGTTTCTCGATGAGGATGATCTACCACTATATGATAATAAAAGAAATAGAAAAACCTCAACATTAAATTTCTTTTTTTAAGTATATAATATTTTTAACAATGTTGTTATGTATATATCGAGGACGCTACTATTCATTTCTTTTATCATTTTACTTGCTGATAAGGAAAGGGTAGCACAAGGCCGAGCAAGAAGCTTTGACGACAAGGACAAACCATTCTAGTCCAGAGACGAAGTTGTAGCCCTTTGAGGACTTGATTTTGTAGATTTGGAACCTCCATACCCGTTCTTGTACCGGACGCCATCCTCGTCTTCAACCCCTGTTAAGAATTGTTTGGCTAAAATAAAATAGAAGTTCGAATGGTTGTCCCATATCGGTAACAATGAAAGGTGAAAAGGTGATTCCATGCCTATAAAAAGGGGTCCAAAGCTTGGGTTTCAAATCATCCCTATAAAATACATTTTAAGTATTTTATCTTTCTTTCTTGTTCTCTTGTTTTAAAGAGTAGAAAGGTGTAAGTTAAATCTACGAGAATGTGGGTATTATTAGGGGGAGTTTGAGAGACTAGAACTATGTGATTATAACAATTTCTCATATAGTGGATATTCTCTGGTTTTGGAGTTTCCACGTAAATTCGTCCTTTTTTTTTCTCTATAATTGTTAATTGCTTGGGTTATCGGGAAACATTGATGCCACTTTCCCAACAAGTGGTATCAAAGCTCTAGGTTGGAGGAGGTCTTGGTTTGAGGGTTCTTAGTATGCTTTGTGATTCCAGTTTTGTCTAATCTTCCACATCATAAAAGAACTATCTCTTGGTCGTATTGGAGGAGGTCTTCGTTAGAGGGTTCTTAATATGCTATGTTGTTGCGGTTTTGTCTGGCCTTCCACATTAGAAAAGAAATTCTCTAGGTTACTTTGTGTGAGATAGAATTGTGTGTGGTAGGAGTACGTGCATAATAGGAAACTTTTCCTAGTTGTGTTACTCATAGGCTACAGTACTCTTCTAGTATACAATATTCCTTTTTGAGTCGTTGATATGATATCAAAATTTTTAAGTGCTATGAGGTTCAATGAGGAGAAATTTATGGAAGGATCAACTTTGGCTTATGGAAAGTTCAAGTCAAAGATGTCTTGGTTCAATCCGGGTTACCTAAGGCATTGAGGGGAAAACCAACTTCGAGCATTGAATCAAGCGGTACCAGTAAAAACAAGGAAGAATGGGATGATTTAGATTTGAGAGCGACAAATACTATTCATCTGTGTCTAGGAAAGAATGTTCTTGCAAACGTGCATAGGATATTAACGGCCAAGGAGCTTTGGGAGAAGCTTGAGCAATTATATCGGGGCAAAGACGTCTCAAATGGATTGTTTCTTAAGGAACAATTTCATAATTTACATATGGATGGAGGTATAAAAAATTTAGATCATCTAAGTGTTCTTAACAATGTTGTTTCAGAACTAGTAGCTATCAGAGTTGAGGTAGAAAATGAAGATGAAACATTGAGGCTCATATTATCTTTTCCATCTTCCTTTGAGCACATGAAACCTCTTCTGATGTTTGGGCACATGAAACCTTTGAGCACATGAAACCTCTTCTGATGTTTTGTAGATATTACTAGCAAACTCCTATCCAAGAAGAAAAAATTGGAAGGTAGCAATTTGACTTTATCCAGAAGGTACGGTTTTGGTGACCAGGCAAGGGAAGAAGAAGAACATCGAGGAGAATCTAACATGCCGGAAAGTGTGGACATTCTAGCAATTCTCTAACTGGAGTGGGTTCAGTAAAAGACTCCAATTTAGATGCTAATGATGTCTCGATTCTCATGGGAAACAATGAGTTTCTTTAAGATATGGGAGAATACATCCTCATGGTATGTACACTTTACCATGGAAAGGGATGTGTCTCGATTAGCGCTTCCACATATTTACATACATGCATTGGTTTGGCATGGATGCAAGGTGTGTGGTGGGATTGATGTCGATGGCCGATGAACTTCCGAGTAAACCAAACGAGGAAGTTGCACCATAAATTTTCAGCAAGTTCTTCGACATGTGTCGTGGTAAAATTCTTAGAATGGATTATTCTAAGTGGTGATACTCTTTTATGGTGGAGTTTGATAGTTCTCTGATTTGAGAATTATGATTATTAGTATAGACAACAGTTGTCGGTGTTGCAGTAAAGACTTTCTTTTATATTAGCCAAGATGGACACTACTAAACAAAAGACTTTTAGCTGGGGAGTTTTTCCTGGGAAATTCGTAGCTAAAGGTGATTCGTCACAAAATTGTCACAAAAGTTTGTAGGTAATTCAAATCAATGATAGAATTAACCAGACATTTTCTAGTTGTTACGTGGATATTTTCTTGAAAAACATCGGATTCTACCAATGGAAATTTCCCTAGGTAATATTTGTGGGTAAAATCCATTTATTTTGTAGTTGGAGTTTGTTGAAAATTGTTTGGCTAAAACAAAATAAAGGTTCGGACGTTTGTCTCATATCGGTGGAGCAATGAATGCTGAAAAGGATTTTCATGCCTATAAAAAAGGATCGAAAGCTTAGGTTTCACATGGTCAAAAAAAATATGAATATTTTTTTTTCTTTCTTGTTCTCGTGTTTTGAAGACTAGAAAGGTTTGAGTTAAATCTTTAAAAGTGTGGGTATTATTGGTAAAAGCTTAAGATATTAGAACTGTATGATTGTAACAATTTTTCACATAGTGGATTTTCTCTCAAAGACCCGTAATTTTTCTCTGATTTTAAAGTTTCCACGTAAATTCATCTTCTTCTTCCTCTATAATTGTTCATTGCTTGTATTGTAGAGAAACATTGAGGACAATTTCCCAAAACTCCATCCCTTCCCATATCTCCTCCCCTAGTTAGTTAGCAAGTGTAGTTTGACCGAAACGTTTTGATCCAATCTATATATATTAAAGAATAAACCACATGCAATGATGTGGCCTCTTCTCAAAATAAGAAAACACTTTATCTTTTTTCTCTTTTTCTCAAGTTTTTCCTACCTCAATATTTTTTTTGATATTTGATATTCACATTTAAGATCATTTAATTAGGTTGTTTCAACCTATTCATGTTCCATCTAATAATTTCTCCTTTAACTCTCATTATTTCTTTCTATTTGGTTATAAATGTTCATCTTCTTTTGATAGTATACCTCTATAATAATCTTTCTATTAATCTCTCAATTTTTCTTCTCTATTCATTGATAATTTTGTGGTACACCTTTATGATAATCTCTCAATTCTTCCTCTCTATTCATGTATAATTTTGTGGTACACCTCTATGATAATCTCTCTAGTAATCTCTCAATTTTTCCTCTCTATTCAGTTATAAATTTGTGAATGCGATTTGCATTTTTGTTTATTTGAGGTGTCATTCAATAAGACAAATCATGGTATGAGTTTTTGCTTATGTAAGTATAATATTTCTTTTTTTAGTCGAAGATATTCACATTATAGTTGGAATTATGTAGGCATATGGATTTTTTTGTGTGTGAATAAAGTGGCATATGAATCATGGAAGAAACAATTTAACATTGTTTAAGCATAATATCTCTCTTAATCTCTCAATTCTTCCTCTCTATTCAGTTTTTTTGGAGATGATTTGTATTTTTGTTTATTTGAGACGTCATTCAAGAAGAGAAATATGATATGGGTTTTTGTTAATATAAGTATATTATTTTTGTCTTTTAATTGGAGACATTCACACTAAAATTAGAATTATGCAAGCATATGAATCTCTCTATTAATCTCTCAATTCTTTCTCACTATTCAGTTATAATTTTGTGGAGGCGATTTGAATTTTTGTTGATTTGAGGCGTCATTCAATAAATCAAATCATGGTATGAGTTTGTGCTTATGTAAGTATAATATTTCGTCTTTTAGTTGGAGAATTTACACTAAAGTTGGAATTATGTAGGGATATGATTTTTTTTTGGATAAAGTGACATGAATCTTTGATGAAATAAGGTAACATTGTTTAGCATAATAATCTCTCTTAATCTCTCAGTTCTTCTTCTTTATTCAGTTGTTGTGGATGTGATTTGTTTTTTTGTTTTTTTTTTTTGATTTGAGGCATCATTCAAGAAAACAAATATGATATGGGTTTTTGTTGATGTTGATCAGTCTATTGTGATTTTTTCTTCTTCTTTAACATTGAGCTTGAAAATTATTTTCTAATATTTTTAATTCTTAAAAAAGAAACCAAACATAATGAAGTGTTATCCTC